TGATTATCATGGCCTGAACCACGTGTACTAGGAATAAGCAAATATATTATATCTATATATATACTAGCGGACGTACCCGGCTTCGCCCGGGTTTTACCCGAGTAAAGGTTTGTCTAACGAACATTTGTTAAAACAATTCTCTATAAACTTATATATATAAAAAAAGATATATTTTGATAATTTGAAAATCGTAAATTTGAATCTCTCGATAAAGTGAACATTTTTTCCCGGTCCCTGTGTGCCGTGTCATCCTGAATTTTGTCTTTCCTAATTTTCTACATTACAAAATCATCGTATCATCATGGGTAATATTTAGAGCAGATTGTTGAATTATAACAGATAAATTAGAATATTTATCTTGATTATTTCTAGGCGAAAAGTTATTTCAAAAATTTTATTTGCTAGAAACCTTCCCAGTACTATGCTAAATAACTTCCCAAAGTTTCATGGCGATCCAATGAGTGGTTTGGTCAGGCATAAAGGACAAACAAACAAGCAGACACACACACATACATTCATTTTTATATATATAGATTCTTGTCTCAAATAAATTGCCGTGTCATCCTGAATTTTGTCTTTCCTAATTTTCTACATTACAAAATCATCGTATCATCATGATAATATTTAGAGCAGATTGTTGAATTATAACAGATAAATTAGAATATTTATCTTGATTATTTCTAGGCGAAAAGTTATTTCAAAAATTTTATTTGCTAGAAACCTTCTCAGTACTATACTAAATAACTTCCCAAAGTTTCATGGCGATCCAATGAGTGGTTTGGTCAGGCATAAAGGACAAACAAACAAACAAACAGACACACATACATTCATTTTTATATATATAGATATAAATCAATGTTTGTATGTATGTTTGTTTGTTTGTATGTCCGGTATACAAATTCGCAGTAGTTCACTAATTCAAACCAAAATTTCCATACATAGGTAAAAAAATACGGGCAAGACGATAGGCTATTTTAAAAAATATATAAATCAATTATTAAAACTATATATTCAAATTATTCTACTTAGTTCACGAACAGCGCCCTCTATCAAAGATTAGATTAAATTATGCTGATGCAAACAAATAGATAATGCTAATAACAAACAATTATATAAAAAAATCTTATCTAAATATATATCACTCGGGTAGATATGTACACGGGTCAATCCCGGGGCGAAGCCCGGTCACCCGTCTAGTAGATTATATTAAACAAATTTATGGATTGCGCTATTTTCAAAACGATATTTATATATGTAAAAAAAAAAGGTCAGGTTTGATATTTAAAATAAAAAAAAAGCATATACTGACCGCTCACATGAGAATTTAGATGGCAGAGCGCCATCTAGTGGAACAAAAATAAACTAAACGTTGATTTAACTTGTTCCATGATATTTCTTTTTTTTTTTTTTCACATGAAAATAGTATTTACGGAAATTTGGCCTTATATACCCATTTCTCAGGAAGCCTCTAGGACCAGAATATTTGTCGTAGAGATACATCCTGCCCCACGCTGACAAGGGTCAACAGCCCGAAACGCGTACTTGGTTTGACTTTTCTTGATTTATCACAAATTGGGTTGGTCGAATAGCATAGAACAAGTTATATCGACGCTTAGTTTATTTTTGTTCCACTAGATGGCGCTCGGATATCGAGAATGCGCTCATGTGAGAAGTAAGATTATGCCTTTTTGTTGCTAATATCTATAATAAGTCAGCGTATATGTCTGATTTTCGGCTTTTATATTAATTTATCTGAAAATAAAGCAATCCATACTTATAATACAATATAATGCGGCCTAAGATTGTAGAATGACATTTAAAAATTATCCCGCATGTGTATCTTTTAAACGAAAAATCGAAATTTATTTTAAGGAGAAATAACGATTATTTATAACCTTAGGGATGAAGTATGAAATGATGAATTGTGAAGAGTAATGATAAACAGAAAAATAAGCTTAGTGGACATGGCATCTGCCCAGTAAGCGGAAGACTGTGGGTTCGATTCCCATCCCTGTACACTTTTATTTTTCCGTTTATCATTACTCTTCACAAATTCATCCTTTCATACTTCATCCCTAAGGTTAGAAATAATCGTTATTTCTCCTTAAAATAAATTTCGATTTTTCGTTCAAAAGAAACACATGCGGGATAATTTTCAAATGTCGTTCTACAATCCATACTTAAATCATTAGATAATAAAAAGACATATATTGGATTGAATTGAATAAAGGAAAATAGTTTTTAGTAGTTTTGATGGAGTAGCAAACACCATTTTCTCTTTATAGAGAATTGTTTATGTAATATCTTTCTAAACCAAAAACAAGTCGGTGGATGAGTGGGTAACACGCTCGATTTCCGACAGTCATGAACCGGGATTGAATCCCGCGTTAACATTTTGTTTAAAATGTGAATAACTTTCATATATTATTCACTGTTTCAATTATCATGAACTAGGTTGCTCTTGCTGAGCGGTACCTATTAATGTGATTTTGAACCATCTTTCTAAACCAATTAAGCCAGAATAACGAAAAGTGGAAAAAAAAGGAAAAATAAACCCACCTTAAATATCAAACAAGCCAGAAAAAACTTTCTCAAGAACAATATCCCCAAGGACCCAACGACATCAATATAAATTGTAAATGAACAAACCCTGTACATTCCCCACAGTAAATATGATGATCTAGGTTGCTCTTGTTGAGCGGTGGCACCTAATAAAGTTATTTGGAACTTGGAACTGGACCGTTACAGATGCAAGTCGGTGGACGAGTAGGTAACACCCTCGATTCCCGACAGCCATGAACCGGGATTGAATCCCACGTTAACCTTTTGTTTAATATGTGAATAACCTTCACTTCATTGTTGTAAATATCATAAACTAGGTTGTTCTTGTTGAGCGGTACCTAATAAAGTTATTTGGAACTGGAACGTATCTAAATTTAGCGTTGTTACTTGACGCAAGCATCCCTTGTGGGAATATCGCGAAATAGAGAATATATTCAGTAGTTTTATCATTTATTTTGAGAAAAGTAAATTACAAATTTCTCACCAGGATATTAGAGATGATGATGTTATTAATTAATCATCATTAACTACCACCGTAGCGTTGAAGAAATAAGTGTTCACGATTCTAATATGTCGTACAGTACAACTTGGATAATTCAACGTCTTTAATTCAAATGTTTATAATACAATATAATGCGGCTTGATTGTAAAACGACATTTGAAAATTATTCCGCATGTGTTTCTTTTGAACGAAAAATCGAAATTTATTTTAAGGAGAAATAACGATTATTTCTAACCTTTTGGATGAAGTATGAAAGGATGAATTTGTGAAGAGTAATGATAAACGGAAAAATAAAAGTGTCCAGGGATGGGAATCGAACCCACAGTGTTCCGCTTACCGGGCAGTTGCCATGTCCACTAGGCTACCCTTTAAATTGGTCAGTGACCAAGAAGAACTTTTATAAAGAAAGAAGGGAAGCGACGCGTCAAACTTATTTTATTTATTTTTCCGTTTATCATTACTCTTCACAATTCATCCTTTCATACCTCATCCCTAAGGTTAGAAAAAATCGTTATTTCTCCTTAAAATAAATTTAGATTTTTCGTTCAAAAGAAACACATGCGGGATAATTTTCAAATGTCGAATATTTATCTTGGTCCCTAGAATTTGATCCTTTTTATTCAAGACGTTTTTTATTAGAATATTTGGATAATTTTTCTTTTGTTCCGTTGTGCTTCGAATTATCCAAGTTCGTCTGCTAAATATTGTGTTTTAAAGAATTTGTAATTTACGGAAGAACATTGTATACAGGTAAACCTCTCTATAGCGCCCCCTCTAAATAGCGCCTTCCTCTCTATTACGCCCGATTTTAAACATTAAAATGTAAACATTTTACATTAAAAGTGACCTGTATATAGCACCCCCCTTCTCTATAGCATCCTATTTTGGTGAGTCCCAAGAGGGGGCGCTATAGACAGGTTTAACTGTATATTTATAATTATATGTATTTCTATTGTCCACTCACAAAGCTTTTGTCTATAGTTCATTTAAAGCATCCTTTCCAAGAGTTTAGCATCAGTATCGTTATAAAAGGAAAACAGCCAAATGTGCAATACAGTAGACTCTCCTATAACGCGAGTTTTTACAACGCGATAAAAAAATTGCGACAAATTTATTTATACAACGCGAATTTTCGCATAACGCGTTATAAAATAAAACAATTTACCCTAACATTCGCGTTATACAAGTTTTATTTCGTACAACGCGAATTCCTATAACGCGATTTCATACAACACGGAACACATTAATCGCGTTATAGGAGAGTTTACTGTATTAGGTTGGTATGGTAGTGCCACGTGGAAAATTAGGGAAGACAAAAACTTCAGGAGGAAACAAAATTTATTTCAGGCAAGGACAAACTATCAAAGGTAAACAAAAGATAAGCCACGAGGGAAATTTACAGAGTCGCAAGATATAAAACATAAAAATGACCACTCTGTTAAATAAAAAATAATAAAATTAAGAAATACTATGTTACATAAATAAAATTAATAAATACTATGTTACATAGCTTCTTCCCTATGGGAGCTGTGACCCACAGCTAGCAATTATTGTAGATACTGACGTGGATTTGACGTGCTTCTGCCAAGGATTCCATCGAAGTCTTGGAACTTTGTCCCTAGTACCTTTGCGTCCATTTTCTTGCGGCGTTAAGAGCGGCTTTGTCGTCGAATCGTCGTCTATAGGGACATCGTCATCTTGGAAGGAAGTCTTGGCTATGACACGGGGGTGGAATCCTGGAGCCAGTCTCTAAAAATGTAGATCACAGCACCCATAGCTTCAAATTCTTCTCGGCGATCTTCAGTTTGTCTTCCCTAACTTACCCGGCATCTCCACCAAAATGCCACGTGGAAAATTAGGGAAGACAAAAAACTTCAGGAGGAAACAAAATTTATTTCAGGGAAGGACAAACTATCAAAGGTGAACAAAAGATAAGCCACGAGGGAAATTTACAGAGTCGCAAGATATAAAACATAAAAATGACCACTCTGTTAAATAAAAAATAATAAAATTAATAAATACTATGTTACAATAGATTAAACTGGCGAAACCACTGGGAGGGTTCACCACTGATGAGCCAGGCCATCCAAATATTTTATCATTGCAGTAACGGCACTCGAAAATTGTTTTATTATGAAAAAAAATCATACGCGTGAAAATAAATACAGTTTACATTTACATAATTAGATATCTACAATTAGAAAAATATTTACATGAGATAATATTTACATATTTTAGAAAAATATAGTTATATTTACAATAAGATTTGTATATACATAAAGGTGGGGAAATTATATTTTACATATTTAAAAGCTCGACACAAATTCAGGGTCTTTTTGTTATCTATCCTGTATCAAATATAAAGCAGACTCCGGGCTTTCCTAAACACACAATTGCATATTTACCATTTAATGGAAAAATAATAAATACACCTATCCCCCGATTTACACGGTAGATACGTTCCTGAGAAAAACGTGTAAATCGGGGGATAGGTGTACACAAAAATAAAAAACAAGTACCGTGTAAATCGGGGGATAGGTGTAGTTGATTATTAAGGAAAAATAAATAATTAGAGAAAAGACCTAAATAACAAGTTGATGAATGAATGAAAGAGCATGTTAGGATCAGTGAGGATGGTTGAAGTTTCGGCCTTTCTAACCCTGAGCTGCCTAATGGGAACCTCCAAGTCGTTCCGCCAAGAGATCAACACCACAGAGGTCCGTACGTCTCTTGACCTCACGGACAATACAGCAGCTAACCAACTTCTCTCCCAAAATTCTCCAATCTCCATTCTGTCACCCCGGAAGCCCTGAACTGGCTGAAGGACTTGCCTCTCAGACTTTAATGACCGATATGTCCTCACTTCTTTTTTCTAGATTTAATTCATTTTGTCTCCTCTCTAATTGTAAATACGCTGCTGTATCACCTCATAAGCATAAATAAATAAATGGGAACAGAAAATAGAACCGTTTGGAATTAAATTGCGAAGAAACCCAAGTATTAAAGTTGCTAACAAATAAACAGATTTGAGATAAAAATTACTTCCAACGTGAAGTCCTAGAAAATAGAACTCTGTTGGTTTATCAAAGAAGAAAAGTTTTAAAATTACAAATATTTTATCACAATGAGTATCTTTTTATTTAAAAAACGGTAGCTTTCAAGCGTTAATCGCTCTTCAACGGGCTTACTATAATATCGACTTGATCCCACCAGAAATATTTACAAAAACAAACGCGCGCAGCGTGGATATTTATAACTGAAGATTTTAAATTGGTTTGTAATTTAACTATTTTATGGAATCAGTTATAAATATCCACGCTGCGCGCGTTTGTTTTTGTAAATATTTCTGGTGGGATAAAGTCGATATTATAGTAAGCCCGTTGAAGAGCGATTAACACTTGAAAGTTAGCGTTTTTAAAATAAAAAGATACTCATTGTGAGAATATATTTGTAATTTTAAAACTTTTTCACAATTTTATCATGAATAAAGAATAAAATTACTAAGTTGGTGTGTTTGATATGTCCTTTATCTATGGATACGGTACAGGAGCCTTGGTTACCTAGTTGTTATAGTACTTTGGATTTCACACTAGAATCTGTCTTAGCGGACACCCCGATATATCGGGGAAAACGGCTGAAGTTCACACAAGTCCATGTACTTGGAAACCAAAAGATAATCAACTCTTAGCTGCAAATCAACAAAAATTTCTTAATTCCAGACTTCACTGGAATTTTGTCCCAAATTACACAATAACTAGTCTTTATAAGCTGTCTTCTGATATTTTATTTCTACGTACAGCTATACCATATCAGACGAACTCTACTGTATTGACCTATGCTATATATAGTTAAATGTGAAAAAACAACAGAAAAAAGATCAGGTGTTGATATTAAAAACAAAGTAGGCATATCCTGATCAGGAGCACATGTGCTTTACAGAAGTCAGAGCGCC